CCACAAACTCCCCCCGACAACGAGCTCGGTGGTTATGCCTACTCAAGCTTTTGATGAGGCCAAATTTTGAAGGGATGCTTAGGAAACTCATGGGAAAGCTCATCCACAACTTTAAGAGAAGAAAGGGGGTTGGAAGAGAGTCTAGAGTTCCTGGAGGTTAGAAAGGTTCCGTTAGTATTTGTTAGAGTGTAAAAAGTGTGAGGAATTCTTCGAGAGATTGTAAGAGTGGAGGGAAAGTGAGAGATTTCTTCGTCTTTGCTACTTCGAAGAGGAATTTTGTATGCTGTTAAGAAAGGAAGAGATTCAGAAGAACTTCGAGGAGTGTTCTTGGGGAGAAATTAGAGATAAGTTATTTACTTGTTGTAGTTTGTATGACTTTGATTTTATATATGAATTCCGAGTTTTGTTGTATTTTTCTCATTAGATCTGAGTAGTTTCTCTGTCTTTCTCCTTATCTCGAGATTTATGAAATGGTGATTTGAATTGGTGAAGCCATGAAAATATTTAAGAAATTATGATGATCTTTTCACTTTGATCTTAATTTACTTTCAATATGACCAATTGATTTGTTAAAATATGTCGAGTTTTACAACTAAAGTGAAGATTACATCCAAGATTCAGGCAGGTCAAAACCCTTGGAAGTTGGGTACAAATAAATAAGGAAATATTATTATCGGGCGTAGAATTAGAGATTTTAGAGTGACAGACTAAAAATCTCCAATTCGGTCCTATCGTTTGGGTGCTGAAGTGTAGATGTTAACCCTCAGGCAAGGGGAACGTGGAAGCTCCGAAGTGATAGCCGGTATCCTCCCAGCCTAGCTGCAGATTCAGTAAACAAGCGTAGGATTAGTCAATGTTCTTTATGCCTGGACTAAAGGGTAAAGAATAAGTATGCTCCTATTTGACACAATATAATTTGAACCAATTCACTTTATCCATTCACTAGAATTTCTTGACAAGGAGAAGTATGCTTTCTTATGTATTAATAATCACATTTAAACCCTCATTAGTATTATTAGTTATTTATTAGTTATTAAAATTATATATTTATTTCAACTGCCTATTAGTGACTTAGTGACAGATAAA